GCCACGAAGAGATGGTGTTCAACACATATATCAGTTCTTTACGTTTGAAGTGGTCCAGGTCAGCATAACAAGTTACTAGTATGCAACCTGGTCCTTTTGCTCATACTTTAAAACTACGACCCAGTAGACCACCTGGTCCTCAAATTTTTGCAGGGAAGATTGCGCCATAGGCCATGCTGTGACGTCATGAAAGAAACCGTACGAATAGCAGACAAAGACGAAGTGGCAAAATCCTATACAAATAATAAACAAAATTGCGAATGGTCACGTAAAATTGTAAAATAAACAATATATTTTAGTTTATTATGAGAAGGTTAAGGTTAAGTTAATGTGCCAGACATATATGCGACGAAAAGCAACCTAAAGTTGCCTAATTGGAAAAGCTGAGGACCAAACTATTTAAATAAATTCGAAGTGATTTTGTGTTTTATATTTAAAATTTAATTGCACAAATATATTGATGAATATCAAAAAGGAATAAATAAATAATAAAAACTTAGTTACAATTGTAGTGAATGCAAATAATGCTATTTTGTGGTTGAAAGGACTTGATCGCCGGCTGGAACTAATCAACTTCTGTGCCAAATACACAGCAAATGGAAAGGATAAATAGTTGTTTATCGAAGATTTGTCTAACATATCGTTATTGAAAATCGCCACTGAACACCAAATTTCTAAAAAAAAACTTTTTCACTTAATTGTTACAGCCAATTTCACGAAAGCAATTTAAGTGAAAAATTATTTGAATTTTTTTAATTTTATTTGGAAATTGACAGAAAATAAAACACATTTTCCATTTAAATTGCTGATAAAACCGGCTGTTAGTTTGCTGTGCTCTTTGTTATAAATTTTCGTTTCATATACGCTGACAGTTTGAACTTTGCTCGAGTTTTTCTACAAGTAGATTGTGGAACAAACCTATAATTTCCACACAAATGCGCATACAACACAAAAAAAAAAAAAAGGTTCTACATATTGAACCAAACCTCTATATCCCTATGTCATTCGATGCGCTGAATGCGATTTCGAGGTCTGTGAGCCCCCCTCACGTCAGGTTCGAGGTCATTTGAGGGTCAAATAGAACAAACAATTTATTCTCATTATTTATTTATACTCAATCCGGACCCCATATTGATTCCTCAATATCTTCTAAAATTCATGCCAAGGTCATCCCAAGGTCAAATTCAGAAGAATCGTATTGAATTTTAAGGTTTATTCAATGAATTTGTCCCTACTTGACCTTCAAATGACCTCGAACCTGACGTGAAGGGGGCTAACATACCTCTGATTCGCATTCAGGGCGTCGAATAACATAGGTACATATCTGTGGCCATAAGCAATAACCGCCTATGTCGAAAAACCTTATTAAGAGCAAATTTAATTTTAATGTTAACTTTTTAAATAGCCTGGCTGGCGACTTGGGGATATCACATACACATGGAATAGTAGTTGCAGAATACCAAGCGTATACAACTCAATTCTTTCTTAAGTCGACTTAGGCGGTTATTTCTTATGACCACAGATATGTAGAGCTTTGGATCAATATGCAGAAACTTTTTTTGTAAACCAGTATATACATACAATATCATATCAATCATATGTATACATACAATAAAAGTTGGCTCTTTATTTCTGGGCTGGGATCCCGTCGTGCCGAGCCGGGCCGGGCCGTGCCCCACTAAAATTCTTAACGTGCGGGCTCGTGCGTATTTTTGAAAGTTGATTTTGCACTCGTGCCGGGCCGGGTCTAAAAATTTAGGCCCGTGCCCATCTCTATTCCAAACTATGTAAATTTTCATAAAAAATTTCAATCCTTAATTACTCTTCTTAAAAAAAATTTGACTAGGTATGCAGTTTTGCATAAAATTTTTTCTTAAAAGGGTAAGCAAGAAGTAAAATTTTCGGCAACATACTAATTTTCAAAATCGGATATCAAATAAGAGCGTTATAGTAAAAAACGCGATTTAGCTATTTATATAGTGCTTAATACAATGCAGAAACAACAGACAGATAATTGCTATAATTTGAAATTTAATTTATTCACATTGATATTTTCTTAAAGTTAAAAAATAAATACAGCAATTATGATAAAATAAATATATATATGTAGCCAGGAACTATACAGTTTTTTTTTTATGTGAAGCAGTGATGAAATGGGTCAGAAAACAACTATTCTTAACCCCGGGCAGTTGCGGCAACATTGGCGGCCTGCTGCGCCACGCCAAGTCCCTGAATGGTGGCATCCCTTGTGTGTTGACCAACACGCTCCTGTTCGGAAAGGAAATTTTACAATAGTAAGTACATATGCCCTTAATCCAACAAAAAAAAATATATATATGCTATGAATATTTCTGTGTAAAAACTTACGATTTTCTTGCCGATCTTCTTTAGCCAACCCGCTTCTGTTTGGCCTGCGAAAATAGCGATCAAAACGGCAAAGAAGATGAAGACTTTATTGAAGTTCATTTTGATTGTTGTTTTTTGTTTCTTGTCTACTGCAATGTAATACTTTATAACTTAGCTCGATAGCTGTTGAGCGGCGACTATTGTCTTTACTGGGGACGTTCCAAACGTTTGTGATGATGAGAGATTGACGGCAGGGGCTTTTATAGCGAGAACTACTTCGATTGGTGACGGCCTCTGCATTTCCTTCATTATACGGGGGATCACTGGCATCCATCATCATCAATGTATGTACATGCATACGTATGTATGTGTTCGTATGCATAACTTTGCTGATAAGGTGACAGTATTAAATAATTTCATTTGCTTTACTTAACTCGGGGATTTTAAACTTCTTAAGAGTGCAATATCTTGTGTTGTGTTGTCTCTTAGAAACTACTACAGGCATACATAATAAACACACCGACATGGATATATACACATGTACAGTAGGGTGCCCCGCTACCCCCTAATTTTATTCGTTTTTATGAGAAATATTATTACCAATTTTAATAGATTTTTTAAAGGTCATTTAGAGGTCGCGACCTGTCGATTTAGGTCAGAAAATACTATTTTGTAGCTTAATGAGTTTTTGAATGAATGCTTTTGATTCGATTTCAAGGATCGAATATGATCTGAGATGAGGATATATAGACCTTTAAAATTGTATATAATAATCTGTTGTCGACTTGGCTTGTTGGGATTTTTTATCGGGTAAAATAAAAAAACCCATATTTCTCTTAATTTTTTAAATTTTGATCATCGACAATTTCCACAATTTCAAATTATGTAGTACTATATAAAAATAAAAATTCTCGAAGTTAGGCGACTTTTATTAAATACGTATATTGTTTACTAGCTCACCACACGTCAGAAGAAATTGTGGTTCCGAAGTTATGGCTGATAAAAAATTCCAGGCATAACCAGTTATAACGGTAAAATATTCGACGCCTTCGGGATTTTCTGCCTCCTTACACCGTCTCATTTATATATATACATACTTTACTATAAGCACCTACCATAGATATGTCTGCATACCAAATTTCTAGCTCATGTGACTTATGGTTCCGAAGGTATGACTGACAAAAAATTCCACGCCTATCTTATCTGCCACGCCCCCCTTTTACCAACTCATTTATATATACCTTAAGATAAGCTTCTACCAAATTTCAAGTTCATGTCGCTAGCTTAGAAAGAAAAGTTGCTAAGTCCCATTTTAAAAATTTTACAGGAGAGGAAAAAATCTTTCTATAGCCATTTTCTTTAACTATTTCGCAAGACTTTGAATCAGACATTTTGCGCGTTTAAAGCAAAGCAAAACTCCATAAGAATCAGAAGAATTCGATATTTATTTAAAGATGTCGTATTATTTTGTCCTTATCAGATTTGTGGTGCTTCTTTTGGACTTAGCAAATTTTCCATTTATTGCTTATGAAGAGGAAAAAATAAAACAAGTACCTTTATAATTATCGAAACGATGCGTATTCAATTTCTCTAGCCTCCCATATCAAAATATGAGTTTGCATAAAAAGTGGACTTAGCAACTTTTCACTCTAAGCTAGCGATGTGACTTACGGTTCCGAAGTTAGAGCTGATTAAATAATTAACGCCTATGGGAGGTGCCATGCCCCCTTTTGCAAAACCGCCCATATTTTCCCATGAGTATGGAAATAATTTCTTTTATATCGGCACCAAGTTCCAGTATACTACCACAAATATTTCAAGAGATATACAATATGATAATTTTAGTCAGTATGGGAGGTGCCACGCCCCTCTTTCCAGTAATGTCCATATTTCTCTATGCCTATAACCTTTCCGGGGTAAAAGCAAATAAGTGCGCAAAGTATCATGCGATTCCGTGCCGCGGTTCAGAAGTTATAAGGTAATAAACAAACAGACATTCACATTTATATACATATATATAGATGTACCGGACTTTCAGATTTTTGAGCAGGAATTTATCAATATTTGATCAAAATTGATGTATACTCAAATTCGGTATACACATTGTGCAAAACCTACTCCCCATAAAATATAGCTAGCTTTGAGTTTTTTAAAACTACCGTTACGTTGGTGAAGCGTGAGATTTCCGTGTCCGATTTCAAAAACTTTCAATACGGCGCTTAAGAAGCCTACGTATACGAAATTTGGTTGAGATCGATCAAGTAGGTTTTGAGATACAAATGTGTGATATATGTGGGCGGTGCCATCCCAATTTTCCTAGAATTTCGGTGGAAAACCACTTCTTTGCTAAAGAGCGTTTATATAGATACATATATCCATGTCGGTGTGTTTATTATGTATGCCTGTAGTAGTTTCTAAGAGACAACACAACACAAGATATTGCACTCTTAAGAAGTTGAAAATCCCCGAGTTACGTAAAGCAAATGAAATTATTTAATACTGTCACCTTATCAGCAAAGTGATGCATACGCACACATACGTATGTATGTACATACATACATTGATGATGATGGATGCCAGTGATCCCCCGCATAATGAAGGAAATGCAGAGGCCGTCACCAATCGAAGTAGTTCTCGCTATAAAAGCCCCAGTCGTCAATCTCTCATCATCACAAACGTTTGGAACGTCCCCAGTAAAGACAATAGTCGCCGCTCAACAGCTATCGAGCTAAGTTATAAAGTATTACATTGCAGTAGACAAGAAACAAAAAACAACAATCAAAATGAACTTCAATAAAGTCTTCATCTTCTTTGCCGTTTTGATCGCTATTTTCGCAGGCCAAACAGAAGCGGGTTGGCTAAAGAAGATCGGCAAGAAAATCGTAAGTTTTTACACAGAAATATTCATAGCATATGTATATTTTTTTTTGTTGGATTAAGGGCATATGTACTTACTATTGTAAAATTTCCTTTCCGAACAGGAGCGTGTTGGTCAACACACAAGGGATGCCACCATTCAGGGACTTGGCGTGGCGCAGCAGGCCGCCAATGTTGCCGCAACTGCCCGGGGTTAAGAATAGTTGTTTTCTGACCCATTTCATCACTGCTTCACATAAAAAAAAAACTGTATAGTTCCTGGCTACATATATATATTTATTTTATCATAATTGCTGTATTTATTTTTTAACTTTAAGAAAATATCAATGTGAATAAATTAAATTTCAATTATAGTAATTATCTGTCTGTTGTTTCTGGCTTGTATTAAGCACTATATAGATAGCTAAATCGCGTTTTTTGCTATAACGTTCTTATTTGATATCCGATTTTAAAAGTTTTTATGTCGCCGAAAAGGTCTCGCTCAGGTCTGCAAATGGCTATTAAAAATGTTTGTCCTCCAAAACCGTTTTGACTTGCACGTTCGAAAAGTTTGGAAATGCTATCCCCAGATTTTTATTTTTGTTCCATAAATCTAAAGTTCTCAAAAAACTATGGCGACCTTGCTTAAAACCAGGGCCGGCCGCAGGATTTCTCTTTGTGGGGGGCGGTTTATGTAAAGCCATTCGTAACAACTAAGAATATCATTATTTTATTTAGAGTATTCAGCATATTTTATAGATAACAACTTTTTAATACTGAGTCAACATTATATAACATATATTGCGATGAATATTGAGAAAAGCTAGCCCATTGTGCTCGTTCTATGCCCATGATTGCACATTAGCCTGCGCCTTAGTTGTATGGAGAAATTTTTTTGTTAAGCTACAAAGCAAGACTCGTAAAAATGTTCCTTTGGTCATAAAAATGTGTCCTGCGAAAAATTTTTAAAATCGGACAACGGAAAGACGTGCCTTGAAAGCCCTAAATTAAGCATTTTCATGAAATCTTTCTCAATGTGGTCAAAATTACCTATAAGTAAGTGGGAGATTTGATATAATATAATGGCCCCCCGGTGTAAAATATGGCTAACCTATTTTTAAACCTCCCCAAATTTTAAAGTGATTGAAGTTTTTCCACGTAAAATCACAATTTTCTAAGAATTCAGTATTTAAATTATAGCCAAGTAAATTTACATTAAATTGGTGCGAGAAAAATGTGTAGTAAAGAACTTGTGATGCAGTTTACTTCCATTTCATCGCCCCTAAATTTCATTCCGGAACAGTCCGCTATCTTTGGTTTTAGGTTGTTTTTGGGTTTGGGTTTTTTATATACAAACTTAAAAAAAAATAATAATATTTTTTTATTGTAAATAATTAGCAAAAAGTGCATTGTCACGGTTTTCGCCATTTTTCAACAATTTCTGATAAAAATGCGTAGCATATTCAAATGCCGAAGTTATAGGAAACTTTTCTCTTTTAGTGTTGGGTTCTCCGGTGGCACGAAATTTGTAAAGCAAAATCTAATTTACGGTTAGTTTAGATGCGATATTTGAGCCGCCACACAGTGGTCGGAGAAGCCATGCTTTACGTGGAAAATTGAAGGGCTGTTACGATTATAATAAAGCTGCGGGATCGTAGTATTGTTGTAGTGCTAAATCCGAATATGACGGTTGAGAGCTGTCAAATCAACTGACAATTTCTCTAAAATTGAGAAAATATTTTTAATAATACGACTATGTCAAATAAAAACCTTGACAGTTGACAGCTGTGAATTAAAACCTTGAGAGTTGACAGCTGTCAAATACGCTATTCATTTTTCTAAAAATAAGCTAATATTTTTTAAAGATGCTAGTAATAAGAGTTTTAGAAAAGCTAGTCATGGATTTACGTTAAATTCAAAACCTTCAGAGGTTACAGCTGTCGAAGGGCTGTCAATTTCTCTACAAATAAGCAAAATTTCCCAGGAATTAAACATACTATGTTTTAAGGCTTACTGATATCCAGTTCTGTATCACACTCAAACTTTTTCGGTTGACAACCATGAAATAAACTGTCATTTTAAGGGCCGGTTACTCAATGTCTGGTTAACACTAATCTCCGGTAAAACATCGTTATCGACGTTACCGACTCCATGTTATATGCATTATTAAAAAAATAAAATGTTAACAAGCCACAATAACATTGACAAATACATAGTTTAGGAAGAGCCTGCCTGAAACTATACAAAAAAGCAAATAAGCAAATGGATGTATAGAATTGACAACAACAACCACGCTGTCGAGTTTAAATAGCGGCAAATCAGCTGCACTTGATAGTAGTTGGTTGAATAAGGAAAATGAATTAGCAACAAGAGTTTACGGGATGTACATAGCTCAGTGGTTAACGCTTCTGACTTTGAACATCGAATTCGCAGGTTCGATTCCTGCTGAAGTCTAGAAAAAAGAAGTCTGATGAGGAGATGTGGTGATCTCCGAAATAGTGCTATAACTTCTACCGCTTAGACTTTGTTGCTTTTTAAATTTTTCCTAATAAACAATCGTGGTACAAAGCTCAATAAAAATATTAAAAAAATAATAGAATAAATTACATTAATCTATTATATTTTAATATGTTTTATTTATTTGGGGAAACCGCTGAAGTTGGTCTAGTGCGGCTTTTCTTTTCGTAGATCCTTAAAGGGACCTTTGCATTAGTTTTTGGTAAGGGAGTGAAAAGAAAATATTTCTTGAAAAACAAGCCGTGTTATTAAGGTATTGATAATTTAGCAAGCAAGTTTTATTATGTAATACTTCATACGAAATCATCATTTTCCATGTTTAAGAAGTAAGACCAAACCAGCAATTACTCTTATAATTGAAAGTTTCCATAAACAAATTGTTAAGAAAGTTATCAACTCATAACTGTTAGAACGTGTCACGATCGATATCGTTGAATTAACCGGATTCAACGGCTTTTTCAGCAGATATTATTGAAAGTACTAATCAGTTTTGAGTTCGTTGGACATTTCTAAATAAGAATAGCTTTATTTTGGGTAATTTATTGCAGTTTTAAATATGCCTTTTTCGCGTAAAACGTGGTTTCTCCGACCACTGTGCGCCATGTTGTATTTTTCAAAAGACCTCCCAAAAAGAACCCAATAACTTAAAAGATGGGTAGGTTTAAAAATACTGTAGCTGTTTTTGACATCGGGGGCATAATTTAGGGGGGCCGAGATTGTTTTTTATGTAAATTTTATTAGAAATGTTAAAATATAGCTATTGAAAATTTATAATAATTTACCTCATTAATTTTTCTCTTTTTAACCGACTTAAAAAAACAGGAGGCTATCAATTCATCGGAATATTTTTGGGAGTTTTGCATTGTAGCACAAAGTTGCAAAATAAGGCGCCGTCTACGAAAAATCCTACCATGTGCCACAGTCATATATTTTTCTTAATTGCAAATTTTTGCCGACAACTTCTGTCCAAGTCTTTCTACTTGTGATTTATGTAAATAAAAAATGTGAAATTTAGTTGAAATAGTTTAGCCGTTTTAGGTCGTTTTTTTTTTTGCCAATTTAGCCGATTGGTCCAAAAAGTTCTGGCTGCACTGATTGTTATTGGAAGTCCACAGTTTTCCGAGCGAAAAATATTGATTTTCAAGAATTCCATATCATTTCTACGAAAAGTTGTTTTTTCGCAATACAAAATACGTGGTAAACTTTGAGCGCTTTCTAAATATTTTTTGATTGCGAACTATAAAAATTGGCGTATATTTTTCGATATAAAACAATCTTAGGGGGTTAAAGCATACAAATTTCGACTTTTCTTATTTTGGGCCACTTTAATGTGCATACATATACATATGTATGTATATATGTGTTTAAATTACAAAATTTCTTAAATTCTAGTTGAATTTGATTTTTTTTTTTAATATGGGAAACCTCCTAAATATAGCTAAGAAAGCCTTTTTAAAACCAATACGAGAAATACCAATATTGTAATAATTTATGTTACTTTTAAATACATAATTTCAATTTAATTGTTTAAAGATGGCAACTATTTAAACAAAAAAAAGTAAAACCTTATTGCATATCTACAGCCCAATCCCTTCAATTTGGTACCTCATTTTTGAAAACCGAACGAACGGTGCAGACCTGACGATCCGAAACCAAAGTTTCTCTACATAAGAACCCTGTTGATACATACATATGTATGTATGTATGTACATCTGAACATTTTTTAGGCACATTACACACGTGTCTAAATGCCAAGCATAAAAACGCAATAAACTTTGTAAACGTCGTCATTTACATGTCTACATACATACATACATGCATACCTACATAAAACTAGTATGTACTGATATAAGTGGGTGCAAAGTTGAAAATCAATACAATTACAAACACTTATCGGCACTAATAAAAAACGAAAATAAGAAAAAATGGATTTCAAGTGCATTATTCACACAACATGCGTTTTCAATCATTTTTACAGGAACTCCTGAGGCTATAAAAATTCAACGATGTCACACACAACACGTTGGCGCCTATGTTTGTAATGGTGAAATATAGTACATGCAATAAAAGTGTTTGTGTACAAAAACTTGAGGGGAAGCGAAATGCTCACACTTTTTAAGCTGAATTTATTAAACTCCTACTGAGTCATGTTATCCTTTCGCTGCGGGGAGGCGAGAACACCCAATGACACACATTACAACAATGCAATGGTGAGTTCGTCTTCCGCCACTCGCGAATCTGCGTAATTTCTATGGTGGGTTATTGGAAGCTTTGTCAATAGATTAAATTGCTAACGAAAAATGTGACATATTTTCGAGTGCTGGGCGTTATTACTTCAAATCACAATTTAATCCTTGGTTAAATGTTGTAGTGAGCTTCTCAATAAGAATACGTAAAAACGAATTTGGAATAAATTTTGAAGGAAATGAAGGTATCAAAAGCGGATATTAAAAATTTGTCAGAAAACTTAAAAATTTACTAGAAAATAGCAAATGCAAAAGGTGAGATTAGAAATTTAAGCAGTCGAATATACTACTACCTACTAGGGCCTTTTTGTTAGGTGTTCCTAAAGTTATTCATATCAGCATATATACTTTTGTTAGTTTGACCGCAGCTACCACAGAAATGTATTGCCTAGTCACGTGCATTTTGAGTAGATGAATTTGCAACTAACTAAAGTAGGTGTAAAGTAGGAGAAGCCGAAGTAATAAATTGATACGAAGCGAGTAGATAACAAAG